CGATAATGACGACAATGGTACTGATAGTGGTTGTTGATGATGAAGACGAGGATGGTGACTGTAACGATGGCGATAACGACGATGATGATGAGGATGACGATGATTATGGCGCTGACGATGGCAGCAGCGGCAGTGTCCGCGAGTAGTCCCGATTCGGGGCTCGGCCCGAGGCAGCGGCAGCGGCAGCAGCGGCTCCAACAACGGCGGGCCGGCGGCAGCGGAGACGGGCGAGGCCAACACAACGGCCGTGTTGCCTGTGATGCTGATCGTGATGGCGGTGGCGAACAAGATGATGACGGCGGTGATGGTAAAACATGCTAGTGATGACGACGATGGCGACGACGATGGCCATCACCCGGCGGAACACATTGCGGCAACGGCGGGGCGGCGGCGGCGGTGAGGAAGCTCCTCCTCCTCCCCCTCGTCCACATCCTCTTTCCTTTTCCCTCGTCCGCCTCCTCATCTCCACCTCATCATGCCTTTTTTTCCGACTGCTCTCTTTCCTTGTCCTCTTCCTGCTCCTCCTCCCCCCTCCCCCTCCTCCTCCTCCTCCTCCTCCTCCTCCTCCTCCTCCTCCTGCTCCTTTTCCTCCTTTTCCTCCTCCTCTTCCTCCTCCTGCTCCTCCTCCTCCTCCGCCTCCTCCTCCTCCTCTTCCTCCTCCTCCTCCTCAACCTCCTCTTCTTCCTCCTCCTCCTCCTCTTCCTCCTCCTCTCCTCCTCCTCTCTCCTCCTCCCTCCTCCTCCTCCTCCTCCTCCTCCTCCTCCTCCTCCTCTTTCTCCTCCTCTTCCTGGCCGCAGCGCGTGTCTATCGTCGACGTCCGCGCTTGCGCCCGCGCTGAGCTCCACACGCCGCCGCGGTGACCTGGCAGGCGCCCACCCAGCCCAACTACGCTGCTGCGCGGCGCCGCCGGCGCCAACCCGCGGGCACCCCGCCGACGGCTCCGGGCGCGCCCCTCCGCACTAACAGGCGAAGGCGGACGCCGGCCAGGCGCCCGCCCCTGACGGCTCGCTTGTGTGCCCGCCGCCCGGCGCCACCGCCCCGCCGCCGCCGCCGCCGCCCGGCGCCCCCGCGGCACGGCCGCGGTCGCCCCGCGCGGCAGCGGCCAGCTGCCGCAGCTGCCTGAACCGCCGCCGCCGCCGCCGCTGTTGCGCGGCACTTCAGCCGCCCCAGTTGCGCCCCCCCCCCCCGGCCACGCCGCTGCGCCCCGCCGCCGCCAGCCGCGCTCCCCTAGGAGCTCTCTGCCCCGCGCCGACTTGGCCGCAGCCTCGCGCCGACGGGGCAGGTGGCCGGCAACGCGCCGTCGGCCTAGCTGGGGGCGTTTGCCCGCCGGGCGGCGCGCCGCGCCAGCGGACTGGGCGGCCGCGAGGCAGACCCCCGCGCTGCCGCGCGGCGGCAAGGTCTATCATGGCGAGCCGCAGCCGTTAGCGTAGATCCGCAAGGGCGCCCGCGCCCCCGTCCCGGCTCGTCCCGGCGCTTCCATCGCGAAAGCGACCAGGGCCGAGCCCTGGCAGCGGCTGCGCCTGCGAGCCTCCGCCGCCGCGGCCCCGTCGCGCGTCGCGCGGCCACGCTCGGCGGCTGCGCCCGCGTCCGCGGGCGCGTCGGCGATCGCCGCATAGGCGCAGGTGGTCCCCGCAGTCAGGTCGGTGAAGGCCGCGTCGAGCCGCGCGGCCTCGGGGGCGCCATCCGGGCGCCGTCTGTCCCAGGCGGGGGCGAGCCGCTCCATTCTCGCGCCCAGGGCGCCCCGTGCCGCCAGCCAGCGCCCGAGCCATTCGCGGGCGCCGTCGCGCCTCCGCGCAGCGCCGCCCCCTGCCAGGCAATCCCAAGGCCCGCGCGCAGGTCGGCCCCGCGACAGGAGGGCAGCGCCGGGGCCAGGTCGCGCTGGCCCCTCGCAGGCGGGGCCGGATGGCCAGCGCTGGCTATGGAAGTGCTCTCCCGCGACGCGGTCCACCCCGCGCGCGGGAAGAGCCAGCTGCTGGCGCCATCCCCGCTGGCCGAGCCGAGGCTCGTCTGCTCTGGCTGCGGCAAGGAAGTGGATCCGAAAGGCGAGCGCGCCGCCGCCGCTTCGCCAGCCTCGCGAGGCGCCGCCGCACTTTCTACTCGCGCCCCTTTTGCCGCGCGCGGCCTGAAAGAAGCGCGCGCGTGGTGCGCGGTGCGTAGGATCGCCGGATCGCCCTGCGCTCTCAAGCCGTGCTTGCGCAAATATCTGGAGCGCCGTCAGGTAGAGCCGCGGCCCGCGCCGAAGAAGGCTGCCCGCGCGCATGGGCCCAGGAGTCTCCGCCGCAGCCAGGGCCGCCGGCAGCTGTAGGTTGCGCGGGTTCCAAAATGTGGCCTATACTTCTCGTTCAAGCGAAGTCCGCAAGCCGCCGCCGGCCCCGCGGCGGCTAACGCCTCCAGAGTGCCCGCGGGGTAGACGTCGCCCAGGTGATCCACCACGATGGAGACCGCTTCCCGCGGCGGCGCGCGCGCCAAGTCCTCGTAGAGGATCGCCGTGGCCGCGGCGAAGTAAGCCGGCGAGAGAGAGCAGCCCTGGTCGAGACCCCGCTCAGCTGTCAGCGCGGCAACGACGCCAGAGCAGCGCGCGCCGCGCGTGTTCCCACCGCGCCACGCAGCAGCGAGGCGCACGAGGTCGGGGGCCTGCTCGTGACCTCGCGGAAGACGACGTCCTGGTTTACCTCGTTGAAGGCACTCGCCACGTCCAGCGACGAACAGCACCGCCCTCTGGGGTACACGGAGAAAGCCACCACCTTGTGCGTCAGCGAGACGCCGTTGCGCTGGCACGCGCCACACTGGCACGGGCCCGCCGCCTGGGCGATGAGCTCCTCGCGCTGCGTCGCCGCCGCCTTCGCCGCCATGCGGCGCAGAGTCTCCCCGCGGGCGAGGGGCCGCGTCCCGCACTGCGGCGTCGGGGGCGGGATCAGGCGCTCGCCCAGCAGCGCCTGCGCCGCTGCCGCGGGCGCCTCGCAGCGCAAGACGCAGCCCAGCACCTGCGCCGGCGCCTCGCGTTCCGCGCGGCCGCGCAGGTTTGCTCGAAGCGCGCTCAGGTGAGGCCTGGGCCAGAGTGCCGCGGGAACTTTTTGAAGGATCGCGCCGCGTCCTCTGCAGCTGCCTCCTCCCAGGTGCCCACCAGCGGCCGCGACGGCGCGGATGCCCTCGGCTTGCCCACCGAGGGGCATAGAACTGTCAGCTGGGGGCCCGCGCTGGCTTCAGTTCCCAAAAGCGCCCGGCGGCAGCATCAACATCTCTTTCACCCTGCGGGCCCGCGCCGCCAGATCGACTGGGCGTCGGGCGTCGGCCGCCTCCGTCGCAAACGCCCAGGCGCGCCGTCGCCGCCCAGGGGCGGGCCCCATCGTCAGCCCACGCCTGCCCAATCCCCGAAGCTTCGTGGCAGACGCGGCCTCCCGCATTTCATCGCCCGAGGGAGGATGACGAAGAGCGCCCCGACGACGTCCCGGGCTGGCTGCGCAGCAACTGCCCTGAGAGCGGCTGTTAGCAAATTGCTCACGGTTGCCGCGAGGCTTTCAGGGACAGCCGTCCAAGTGGGCGCCAGCTCGCGGAACGCGCCCGCCATGCCCAAGGGGCCCCACAGTGGGAGCCCAAGGAGCTCGCCCGTCCCAATCACCAAAATGTGGCCGAGATCCAGGTCGCCCGCCGGCGCGTGGTCGTCCTCCTGCATAATCGTCGCCTCGCCAGCGCCAGCTGCCGCCAGGCTCGCGGTCACCGCCGCCGCCGCGCTGCCCGCCACGCAGGCGAGGACCTACGCCCGCGACTCCTCGGGCAGCGCCGCCAATTAGGCCTTCCACTCTGCCTGCGGGGCTGCCCCAAGCGCCTGAAAGAACGATTTGGATTGGCGCGGCTTGCCAGGCGCACCTCCCGCCAGCCGAACCCCTCGCAGCGTGTGGCATGGAGCCACGTGCCGCCGCATTGGCTGCAGGCTCGCCGTCCACGCGCGCGCCCTTGTTCGTGGGGTGGCTCCAGGAACTTGGGCAAAAGCGGGAGCAACACCACCATCACCTGGGGCCGGAACCGCTGCCAAGATCGGCTGCCATAGATTGTGCACTCGCTGCCGCGGCATGCGAGGGCCATCCTCCCCAGCCGTCGCTGCAGCGCCAAGGTCCACGTCGACCGCTCAAGGTGCTTTTTACCTGCGGCGCCGCCGCCGCCGGCAAGCGCAGCAAGCCAGGCGAGGGCGAATGGGCAATCGCGCGGCCGACGGGAGGGGGGAAGCGAACGCGAGAGGGGAAGCGGCCGGGAGAGGATTGGCGGGAGCCTCCTCCTCCTCCTCCTCCTCCTCCTCCTCCTCCTCCTCTTCCGCCTCCTCCGTATCATCCTCTTCCTTCTCTTTCTCCTCCTCCTCCTCCTCCTCCTCCTCCTGCTCTTCCTTCTTCCTCTTCCGCACCTGCTGGAGCACCTTGCGGCAGCGGCAGGCGGCGGCGGCGGCCGTGAGGAGGGGAGCAGGAGGGCCAAGACGAGGGCCCAAAACACCTGGCGTCGTGACAAAAAACGCGACCGAATGCTGTTGGACGTTCTCGACCTCTGGGGCCGGAAGCAGACGGTCGGCATCGTGCCCCGACTTGCTCAGGCGGTGAAAAACTCACGACGGGGGGGGTTCATTACTTTCGGCTGGCCGCCGGCAATTTTCTCGCCTCGGGATGCTTGCCAGCTGCTGATCCTCGCCTCAGAGCGCTCTGGGGGTACCCCGAGGCATGAGACGGCCCGAAAGCCGACCCCCTCGCGTCGCGAAAGAATCATGGCCTGAGCATTTTCTTAGGATGGAGGGCTCAGGGTGAAATCCATATGGGCGTTTGCACCTCGAAGATCAATTCGTTTTGTGATTCGCCTTTTTTGCAGATGCGGGCCTCGAGACTCAATCGAAACGGCATTCCAGATGTCACCCTTTCCCCTCCGCCCAAAGAGCATGCTCGGATGACGGGAAGTTCTTGCACGTTTTCGGCCTCTGGTGGCCCGCCGAACCTGGGACCATCGAAAGCCGCCGCGGAGTGAAAAGCAGGTCCCGGGGCAGTGGTCCAGATGATGGGCCTGTTTTCCACCACCACCACCACCACCACCACAAGTTGGAGGGGGGAAGGAGGAGGACGACGAGGACGAAGAGGAGGAGGAGGAGGAGGAGGAGGACCCCCTCCCTCTCCAACATATGGTGGTGGTGGTGGTGGTGGTGGTGGTGGTGGTGGTGGTGGTGGTGGTGGTGGTGGTGGTGGAAAACAAGCCCATCACCAGAGACAAGTCACTCGGCCCCTGCTTGTACGTTGGACAGGCTTAGATCGACTGGGATCGTAGCGTGAGGATGGCATATTCAAAGGCCTCCTGGATGGGGTCTGAGAAGACGGGGTCGGAGGATCGCGCCGCATGGCCGACGCATCGGCGATACATCGCCGATGCACCGGCGCCATCTGAGAGAGGAAACCTTGGGCTATACATCGAGGCGCATCGGCGAAGCATCGGCGATGCGGCGCGATCTTCCGACCCCATCTGCTCGGAACACATCTGGGAGGTCTATGATATGTCTCATCCTTCTCCTCCTGCTCCTGCCTACAAGAAAGCGGACTTACATGATTGATCGTTGAACTCGCCTTTTTCCATATATCGGTGCCATCTTCAAGTAAGGCGTTTGGCCGCACTTCTGTGCTCAAAGTGCCGCCAGCCCTCGAGCAACAGCGTTTGGCTGGTTCCATCAATTCTCCTGCCAACGATTCCACCCGGATCCAAGGCTCCTGTCTGTCTGACTGTCTGTCTGTCTGTCTCTGGCTCTGTCTCTGTCTGTGTCTCTGTCTGTCTGTCTGTCTCTGTCTCCTTCTCTGTCTCTGTCTCCTTCTCTGTCTCTGTCTCTGTCTGTCTATCTGTCTGTCTGCCTGCCTGCCTGCCTGTCTGTCTGTCTGTCTGTCTCTCTGTCCTCCTCCTCCTCCTCGATCTCCTCCCTCAATCTCCTCGATCTCCTCCTCTTCCTCCTCCTCCTCGAGCTCCTCCTCCTCCTCCTCCTCCTCCTCCTCCTCCTCCTCCTCCTCCTCCTCCTCCTGGACCTCCTGGACCTCCTCCCCCTCCTCCTCGATCTCCTCCTCCTCCCCTCCCCCTCCTCCTCCCCTCCTCCCTCCTCCTCCTCCTCCTCCTCCTCCTCCTCCTCCTCCTCGTTCTTCTTCTCCTCCCCCTCCTCGCTCTCCCTCTCCTCCCCCTCCTCGATCACCTCCCCCATGGCCGAGCGGGGCCCGCCGCCCCTCGCCTCTGCGGCGTCGATGCCCAGGATGCTGGGGCACGGCGCGCGCGCCTGGCGCGCGCCCGACGCCGCCGGCGCCGGCGACGGGCCCGTGGGGAGCCCCACAGGCGTCGACGACGCCGCCGACCGACGGCCCCGCCGACCTTCGGATGGGCATGTTTTCCACCACCGCCATCAGAAGTTGGAGGGGGGGGTGTCCTCCTCCTTCTTCTCCCCCCCCTCCTCCTCCTCGCCCTCCTCCTCACTCCCCCCTCCAACTTCTGGTGGTGGTGTAAAACAGATTCATCACCTTCGGCGACGCCGACGCCGACTGCGACCGGATGACGGCCGACGCCAGCGACGGCGACGTCGGCTGCGACCAACGGCGGCCGAGACCGACGCTGGCAACGGTGACGCCGACCGACGCCGACGCTGGCGACGGCGACAACGACCGCAACCGATGACGCGGCCGCGGCTTCAAATTCCCGATGGGTCGTGATCTCTGCTTCGGAACGTGCCCCCCCCCCCCCCCTGGCGGCCTCCCAGATAGGGTCGGAGCACATGGGGTCGGTGGATCGAGCCGCATCCCCGATGCATTCGCGATGTATCGCCGATGTATCGGCGATGCACTGGCGATGCACCGGCGACGTCGGCGGTTCAGCGGCGTCGCCGGCGTGGAGGAAATCGGCTCCGCATCGATCCGCCTCGTCGATGCATCGACGATACGGCGCGATCCTCCGACCCCGTCTACTCCTACCCTACCTAAAAGGCCTAGACCCCCCCCAGAGTCTGGGCCTCTTCCAGGGCCCTGTCAAAAGGCCTCTCCGTCGTGACTGTTGTCGCGAAGCGGGGGGGCCTGGGGAGGCGCGAAAGGAAAACGAAGACCAGGGGTCGACCCGCCTCGCACTCCTCCTCGACCCTCCTAGATCCTCATCCTCGTCCTCGTCCTCGACCCTACTTCATCCTCGATCCTCATCCTCGATCCTTCTCGATCCCTCTCCTTCTCAATCCTCGATCCTCTCCTCGACCCTCCTCGATCCTCGATCGAAGGTCCTCATGTTTTTACCTCGGGGGCCTGCCTGGGGGTGGTAGGTCTGTCAAGGCCGCGGCCGCGGGCTGGCCGCACCTTGAAATGCTGGCCAACATTGGGCGCCCGGAGGGTCCACATATCAACGTTTTGGGATGAGGAGGACGAGGAAGAAGGAACGAAAAGCACAATCTATCGACGTGTCACTCTAGACCCGAGCATCGACCCGGTGGCTGCGCTGGGAGCCTGCAATACACTACCCGACGAGCACGCGAGCGACACTCCAAGGCAGGCAGGGAGGAGGAAGAAGGAGGAACAGGAGAGGGAACAAAACGAACACGCCCAGAAATGGGAACGCCGAGGGGAAGAGGCAGGGAGGCGACAGGCGACGACGGGTCCTGGGATCGAGGATGGGCGAAGTAGTCTGGGAGGAGCAGTGGGCATCATAGCGTTTACCTGGGAGGAGCGGACCTGGCGGTGGAGGGCCAATCCTCTGAGATCCTCCGAGGGGTCGATAGATCGGCGACCAGCCTCGAAGCGGTCACTCGGCTTTCGGATCGGGACGAGGAGGGGGTTGACCAGCTCAGGTGGGGAAACACCGAGCTTGAATTGGCGGTATACGCCGGTAGATCGGCAACAGCCCCCCCCGGTGGCGAAATCGCACTCTCCTGGGCATGGCGGGGGCACAGGCCCCGATTGGCGATGAATGGGCGATTAGGGGTCCAAGCTTCCTTCCCCCCACCTAAGCCAACCCTCACGACTCTGTGGCAGGAAACGTCCGAAAGCCAGTAGTAGAATCAAACAACCTAATCTGGAAGGACGAAGGATCATCCTTACGTGTAGCCGATCCTAGGGGTCACCACTGAGTGAGTCGCGTACTTTTCCAGGAAACGGACCTCCTTGGACCCCCAGACAGCCCCAGCAAACCCACGAACGACCCAAATCGTCCAAACTTTCTCTATCTTCCATCCTCCCTCTTTCTCGATCCTTGAGTTCCAAAGGGTGGTCGTCCCCCTCTAGGTGACACCCCCTGGCGCTGCCCGGGATCCCAAAACGGCACGGTGACCGACCGTGCGGTGACATCGAAACCTCCGGAGATCTCACCGCAAAATTTTGGGGCCCTGAAGGCCCAAGTCGCCCGAGACATCCTCAGAGATCGACCCCAGTCCCGAGACCGTGCGCCCACCCCAAATCACCTCCGACTCACCCGACGGTGCGGTCACCGGATCGCTGCGTAATTTCCGAACTTTCGTCGCTCTGGCGGGACAACAAAATGCCGATACTGTACTTACCGCTACTCCCCTGACCTCTCTCGGGATGCATTCTGGCAACGCTCCCGAGACGAAGTCAGCCGTAGCAACGAGGAACGGGCATCGGTGACAGTGACAGTATATCTTCCTCTTGTAGAAGAAGTCAACGCATGGCCATACAAACTTTCGGAGGTCCGCGGAAATTTCTTGGATCGGCGCTGGGGTTGACGCTGTGGTCATCGCACCGCTTTGGGACTTCCGACTGATGCTCGTCGCCTGTTCGCCGAGGTAAGGTGGGGGGGGCCGTCTTGGGGGAATCGCTCAGGGGGGAAACATCGACCTGCATTCGGCGGTACCTCGTCGATAGATCGGCGAAAGACACCTGATAGCGAAGCTGTACGCTCCCGAGCAGGGAGATGGCTATCGGGCTCATGTCGGAAATGAATGAACGCGTCGAAGCATCCTCCCCCCCTGAGCCTATCTCCCCCTAACATTACCCCCTGGCTTTCGGGTCATAACTTGGCTCTCCGGCTGCCGTTCGGGACGATTCGCGCACCCCCCGAATGCTCTCGGCGAGGCACAGTCGCTGGAGAGCACCCCGAGGCTGAAAAACTGCCGAGAACCAACGAACATGTCCAACACCTGCCTCTTCCCCTACCCCCCAAACTGGAGAAACAAACACATGCCCATACGGCTACTCCGCCGAGGCTGCGTTCCGACCAGGATGATGAAGTTAATCCAGCCGAGTCGACGAGGGAAGGGCACCAGCATCGGTACGATAACAGTGAAGGGTCTTTAACTCCCCCCATGATGGGAAAAGACTTACTTGGTGCGTGGGCGTACTGACGGAATTAATTACGTCCCTCCTCCAGCGAACGCCGCCCCTGACCGAGGTCGGGCCGCGGCTCTGGCGGGAGCGCCAAAGTCAGGGGGGCCTCCGCGATGGGGTCTGGGAAGATGGGGGGGTCGGAGGACCGCTCCACATCACCGATGCATCGGCGACGCCGACAGTGCTTCGGCGACGCCAGCGCAGAGAAGATCGGGTCCCGCATTGGCGATGCGGCGCGACCCTCCTTCTGCTCGGACACCATGCACGACGCCTCGAAGAGTGGGTTTCGAGGATTCCTCCTAGGGGCGGAGGTTCGAAATTTTCTTCTGCTCTTGGAGGGTCTCTCGCCACAACTTGCTAGCCAGCGTCCCAAGACGGCCACATCGATCACAACCACAACCAAAAGGGTCATGTCGAGGTCGGTGGGTTCTCCCCCGAGGGGCCCTCTGGAAACATCTCATTAGCTTGGGTTGTGTGGTTTTTTTGATGCTCCCGGCCTCCGCCGCCCACAGCAGCGGGTGCAGGCCGCCGCCGCCCGCCAGGCACGGGCTCGGGCTCGGCTCCGGCGGCGGGCTGCGGGGGTCGCGGTGGCGGCGGCAGCAGCAGCACGCGGCACGCGGCCGAGGCCACAGCGCGACCGGAGCAGCCGAGGCGAGGGGGTGAGATCGCAGTGGAACGGAGAGCCCCCCACCAGGAAATCGGCTTCGGTTTCGTGTTCGTGTCGTGCGTGCGGGCGAGGCGAGGCGAGGCTGCGTGGGCGGGCGCGAGGAAGGGCGCCGCAGGGCCAAAAGACCGCCCCCCCCCCCCGGGTGGTCTGGCGGTGGCCGGGAATGTTCCGCGGGGGTCCCGCCGGCTTCCCGGGGCCCCCCGGGTGGTCTGGCGGTGGCCGGGAATGTTCCGCGGGGGTCCCGCCGGCTTCCCGGGGGGGGGTCAGGCCTTCCCGGAAGGCGGCGGGGCTCATCAGAAGCCTGCTCGCGCCCTCCGAGAAGTCGCTTCTGGGCCTCTCGCTGAAGACAGGGGCGGGGCTTCTCGGAAGGCGCGAGGGCTTCCGAGAAGCCCCTCGCTCCTTCCGAGAAGGCCTGGCCCCTCTCACCCTTCCTCGTCGGGCTCGCCGCCGCGCCAAGAAGGCGAGGCCCTCGGGCACGCTGCTCCTTGGGGCCGTTTGGGGCGAGCGGAGGAAGGTGTATAGCCCTCGTTTTTGATCGAGTCTCAAGCAAACGAATTGCCTACGGTGCAGTATCGAACGAGCCGTCGGGGACGCCCGCCACGGGGCGGCTGGGAAGCTTACACCCCTGCAGTGGCACGCTGGGGTACAAGCTTCCCAGCCGCCCTGAGGCAGGCGCCACCGACGGTGGAACAGAAGTGTATGCTGCACCAGGGATCGCCCTAAGCGGCGTTCTTCGTTTTCATGCCGTTTTCATGTTTCCTCGTTTTCTTTTCAATCCGCCTTTGCTGTAGAACTCGATCGAAACGAAAACGGCCCACGAAATCGCCAAAACACTGTTTAGGTCGACCCCTGTGCTACATCGTCCATCGGCCGCTGATGCTGTGTAGGGCTTCCTGGCGAAACTGGCCAGGGATGGGCCGAGGAAGCAACGATGCACCGGGTTCCCTCGGCAAGCTGCTCATCCTGATGCTCACGCCCGACTGCCAGACGAGGGCGTCGCGACGGGGTAGGCGCGCAGGGTCGGCCGAGGTTCGGCAAGTTCACGTGCGTCGCGCTGGTAACTGACACCACATGGATGGCATGACTTTGAGCAGTCCTGGCTTCCCGAGGACAAACATCGCTCGATGACGGCCGATCCCTCCAGACAAGTCGTGGCGCTCTGCTCGTCCTTTTGCACGCCCGCGCCAGGCTCGCCGCCGCGTCGACACGACGCGGACCTGCCGTGAGGCGACGAGGGCACACTATGAGGACACTTACGGATCGGCATCCGTCGGACATCTCCGAGAGCCGGCGGGTCTGAAGCACGCATCGGGCGCCGCGGCCGATTCGGGGCGCCCTGGGACGCTCCGGGAGCGGTCTGGGAAGGCTCTGGAGAGCCAGGTGTCTGCCTCCTGACTAGGCCTGCCTGACGAGGGCTGGGCGGCCGACTGGAGGCAGGACCAGTCATCGCCGACTCAGGACATCGAATCGGTTCAGAACATGCGTGGGCGGATCGGGCCATGTTAGCAACAGGTCGAGATTGAATCCAGTCGTCCTCGCCAGGATGCACAACAGCGCCATTACACACATCGGACCGCATCGGCTAGTCGAAATCCGCCGACCCTGTCTGCGTGTGGAAAGACGCTCTTCCGTTCGTCGTCGTCGTCGTCGTCGTCGTCGTCGCCGTCGCCGCTCCCCCCCCGGGCCCTCCTCCCCAAGCGCGCCAGCCAAAGGGAAATTAAGCAACAACGTCGTAATTGAGTCGAAAGGAAGTCCCTTCCCTTTGATCCGTTCCCCGCTGGGGGGGGTCCAAAGCCCCAAACCCCCCAAGACAGGCCAAGACTGCCCCAAGAGGCCCCCAAGACGGTCCAAGAGAGCCCCGAATCGCCGAAACATCGGTCCCAGACGCCGAAGTAGCCTCCGGACGGCCTAAGAGGTTTCCAAGACGCCCGAAGAGACCTCCAAGAGCACTCCCAAGAGGGCCCCAATCGGCAAAACATCATTGACTGTCCTACGTTTTTGCTCGACGTTTGGGTTCTGGCCTGTTCGGCTTCCCGACGCTCCCCAACACGGCCCAAGAGACCCCCAAGATCGCCCCAAGATAGCCATAGGCTTCCAAAATGGCCCCAAAACGACCCCAGAGGGCCCCCGGACGGCCGAAGAGGCCTCCAAGATGGCCCAAGAGGTCCCCAAGACGGCTCCAAGAGGACTCTAAGAGGGTGCCCAGACGGGGGACCCGAACGGACATGTCGAGACCTCGGCCTGAGCGGCTCCCAAGAAGCCTCCAACAGGCCCCCAAGAGGCGCCCAAGAGACCCCCACGAGGCCACAGGGCAGCCCCAAAAGGCCCCCAGGAGTCACCCAACATGCCCCTAAGAGGCCCCTAAAAAGCCCC